GTAATGTTTTTCATGCTCCGTTCGTGTGAATCAATAACATCACAATAATATTTCATTTTTAATTCTGATAATTTTTTTCAATTTCACTTTAATAATAAACATAAGGTATACCTTCATTATAAAACAACAGAATTAGTGCATTTTTGATATTATTTTACCGTTGAATTATGCACATACGCATTTACCGTTAATGAGGGTTATTTTCTATACTTACCAATAGTAGTTCTTGGTCCCTTGTTTTGGATCTAAAAAATATCTCGACGGTCAGAAATAAAAAATGTCATTTTTCATTTTTATAATAGGTATTTTCGTCTAAAGCCCGATTCAAAGCCCTAGAGGGTTTAATAATTCTCAAAACCACAGCAATAACGTTAGTTTTGTAATAATATGAGTCATCGTTTTAGGAGATTTTATCCGTATATAGTTCGTAAAAAGTCACACTGTTGTTTTTTATATAGATATAGTTATATAATTAAACTTCAATTTTTGCCAAGGAAAAAGTTTTATTCGTTTAAAATATATTATTACTAATAAAGAAAGTTGAATTATTTGCCACAACGGATATGTAATAATAATGATGTAGTATTAATTAATATTAAATTCCCCTCCATCTTCTACACCTAGTCACGTCCATCCACGCGTGAATATAAAATACATAAATATTATAAATTATAATAACTGCCTATAACGTTATAAATAACAAATAGTTTGATGTTCGTTATAGTTTCATATCTACTTAACTGGTGAAAACGGCATTAAGCCACGCGTATTAATAGCTTACGGAAGAATAAGCAGCGCTAGGACGGTCGACATATTCCTACCTAATCGTAATGCGAATAAAAAATAATTTAATAATAATTGATAATACACTATTCAACGTTAAAAACGTGAGCGAAAAGACAGATAACTTGGTTCGTTTAATATAATATGAATATTAAATTTTATTCAAAAATGACATTATAATAATTAGGTTACTATTTTTTTTTTTTTTTACGATGAGTAAATAATATATACAATATACATAAATTATTTATACATATATAAGTTTTAAAACATTATTATTATTCTGTTACTGATCATTCAACAGGTGGTTCGGTGTACTATATTATAATAAAAGCATAAACACCTACTATCGAGAGTTTTTTTGAACGTCACGGTTTACGGTAAAGTAAATTTTACGTTATTTGACAACTAAATGCCTTTGGGCGTTATCGATTTCAGGATATAATATAGTAATTATATTCATACCTATAGATTTAATTATTTTACCAGAAAACCCAGAGAAATATGTATGTCCAATGCACTGCCTTTTAAATGATAAACGGGTTTTCTTCGTATGTATATATTTATATATATATATTATATATACCTATATAAAATATTAGGTACTTACTAAGCCGAACCTGAAAGAGTAATTGAATATTTTACTAGTCACGCTAATAATATAAGTAAAATTCAATCATCGTGAATAAGTCACGTATTGACTGTAAAAATCTAATCTAAATTCTAAATAACAATTCGATACGTGTAATCATGACACTGTGGATTTTTGATTTTAGATTCTGAGCAGAGCAATGATAATATACTAATTTTACAGTGTGTATTTTTTTTTTTTATGTGCTTATTGTAAAAAAAATGCTCTGGTTTTAAAATTTCATTATCTGGTAATAATGTTAATCTAATTATTACTTTGGGAGGTTAAATAAAAATAGTTTTCAAAACAATGGGAATAACAAAAAATAAAATTGAAGAAAAAAGGGAATTTTCACGCTAAACTAATTACAATAAAATCAATTTTCTTACTGTATTGTTATTCAAAAATTATTAAGTATGACATAACTTGTTATTACTGTCATTTAAAAATACTAAACATAAGTATAATTTTTTTTTAGACATTTTAAGTTTAAAATTGAAAGAAGTTGTATACTTAAACAAAGACTAACAATTTCAATTATTTGGTTGTAATTAAAAATACTATTCAAGGGTACTTGAAACTTTGAACGTTTATTATTAATTACCCTACATTAAACAATAACACTTTCAAATGCAATGTTTACATAAAAATGTATTCACTCTACCGTATTATTATAATAGTAAAATAAATTACTTTAATATCCTTATAGTATAAATATATCATAAAATAACTTAGAAATATAAACTAACAGATCGTATTTCGTATGCGACGATTTGAATTCAAATTTAATAAATACATCGTAGCAGCTGGACTACTATAATAGCTAAGAGAAGTAAAGATTTAAGGAGCAAAGTTTTTGTCAGTATACTAATAAAACTACGCAGATCAATATAATAGGTTTATTTATATTTTTTTTTTATTAATAAAAATAAAAGATGTATTTATTTATTTATTTGGTAAAAAATATAAAAATTTGATCGTGTCAGATCCTAGTTTTACGTAGGCATTTATTTTGTCTTCGTGATAAACATTATTTGTTTAAATACATTTAAAACCATATGAATATAACATTTTTTTTGTTTTAAATTAATTTTTGCTACATGATATAATTTCCTTAGTCTTAGTGCTATGTGCAATGTGCACGTTATCCAAATCTTATAAATGTTTTGTGCATTTAATTAAATTCATAACTTTAGCTATAATATCATGCCGTTGGTGTTTCCCCCCATCGGCGACACTAATTTATATTTTAACGGATATTATGTTATTTTTTTCCACAGGATGCGGCGAGCCATAGCAACCTAGGAGCCATACTTCACATGAACAACAAATTAGATGAGGCAGAACGTTCATACAAAAACGCACTGCGACTGCAGCCAGACGACGCGACCACTTTGGCCAATCTCCGAAAACTCAAAAACGTCCATCACCATCGGCAAACGGTCAAATGAACGCGATCTGTCAAATTATATAGGTTTATCCGCGTGGTCATCGTATCGTCGCCACTTTCCTACAATATAATATAAATTATATAAATTATATTATATTAATTTCGTTCTTTTCCATTGAATATTTATGCTTTTTCGTATTCTTTTGTTTTGTAACAATATTTTATGATGTTAAGTCTTTCTTTACGTTTTTTTTTTCCAAAATAATACTCGTTGATATTATTATAATATTATATAATATATATAAATATATATACATAAATTTTATGTATTGATGTTGCATTGCTTTATAGTGCATTATTGTGAACCGATCCGATCCGCTCATTTCCTATATTCTCCGAGATAACAATGTATGTTTACCAGCTCGAAAAATGTATGCGGGAATTTATATATTACGTCTATTTTTAATAGTAAAATACTTTTAACCAGTGGCAGATTTAAGGGGGGGGCAGAGGGGCCTGAGCCCTCCTTCGCCCATAAGATGTATGAGAATATAACTGTGACGTAAAACTTATAATCACGATTCACGAAAAATTTAGGCCCCCCCCCCCCCAAACAAAATCTAGGTCCGCCGCTGCTTTTAACGTTTTTTTTCCACATTTTTAATAGTAATTTCTAATATCATGCAGATCCCTGTACGCATGTATTGCATGTGTGCTTGCATTTTCTTTTACCTATACTTATACTAATATTATTTTATCAACATCATACCTCGGTAGGAGGTCGGAATCCTCTATCCTCAATCACACCCAATACCTACGACAATACGACAAAAAAACTTAATATTTTCCATAATTTCACATAATATTCAAAAAAGTTGTAATAAGCCTAACTTAAATACATCATATTTATTGTTCTCTCTCCTTCGTAATTTTCAAACTCGTAGTACGTGACTTGACGGCTGTTATTGAAATAAATAAAATATAAATCCACATCGTCATATTATTTACTTTTAAGTACGTATTTAACAATTTAACATCAGTTGACTGTACCTACCGTCGACGCGACAAAAATAGGTCTCAAAGGTATTAATACGAGTAAATATTATCACTATGTTTATAACTTTTTTTTCGCTTACTACCTACATATTTATGTATTTTACGGGTCGTTGCAGTCACTAAGTAACACTTGAGTAAACTAAACCAAAACTATTAAAAAAATAAATAAATAAATAACTCAGAAAAATGTTATAATAATTTTTAATGACTTACATACGGCATCTGCACATATAATATCAAGCTATCTGAATAAACATTATTTGATAAACAATTATACGTACCTATTAAAAATTCGTCGTTTCATTTTTTAATAACAATAGCATACATCGGCGCGCCTTTGTACGTATATGTAAGTATAAACATTAGTAGTATTATAATAAACGAACGACAATTTAATTCGTTTCCCGTACAACCGCGTCTTTTTGGCCATCCGCAGTTCTGCATACCTACCGACAGTCGAGCACGTACCATGCAGTTTGATTATTCTATTATACATAGTATTTTAAAGACTGACCTTACTGGACAAAATTATAGTATTGTTTAGTAAGGCCGGGTTGTGCCCAAGCGGATGGCACTTAGGATACGTGTGTTTGGTGTAGGTACGAGTGTAGAAAAATAAATCGCCGAGTTATATTTTATCACTTTATTCGCTTAAAAGACGGACGACAACTGACACTCCGTCGTATCGACGAAATTAACATTATACAGATAATCTTTGTATTAATCCGATTACGATCATCATATGGAAAAACCTTTCAATCGTAATCAGAGTGTACTATAATAATGTATATAGCTAATAAGATAAACATATATATAATGCAATTTTCAATATTGCTACAGTTCGGCCTTCCTGACCACATTGTCGTCTCAACAATATATATATAATTTTATAATTTTTTTTTTTATATAACAAAAAAATTTATATTTTGTATGAAAACTTAAGGGGAATAATGTACAAATAATTGGAAAGTAGTTAAATTATAAAAGTGTTTAATTGTAGGTTCAATTTACTTTAACCTAATAGAAATTATTATGAGTTATTTAAGGTAATAACTAATAACACTGTTTTAATTGTCAAACACTATTTTATACTTAAAAATATATATTAGAAAATAAAGAAATTAGTACAACATAAATCATTTAATTATTCTTGCTCTTCATAAAATTATCGAGTTGTTCATCTAGTTCATCTTTATTTGGCATCTTTTTTTCATTATTCCTACCACCTCTGCCACTACCTCCATCTCGTCCTCTGGTGTTGCCACGACTATTACCACGACCCCCTCTATAATTACCTCGGTTACTTCTAACTCCACCATGAGTACCTCGGACTGGCAATTGGACGGGTCTACTCAGACGTGTAGCAAGATTGGAAACTGTAGATAAGTCTGTGACGAGTTCAATCTTCATAGGACGTCCATCCAAAGGAACGTTGTTATATTGACGAACTGCTTTTAATGCAGCATTCTTACTATCAAAAACAATATCTGCTGTTCCTAATGATCTACCTGATCTATCATAGTGAACTGTAGCAGTTTTTAAAGACCCAAATTCATCAAAAATTTCCTGTATATCTTCTGATGTGACTCCAAAATCTAAATTTGATATGACTATCTTATGAATATTGGTAGTAAATAAACCACCACTCCTTTGTTGTATTTTAGGTCCTTCATACATATCGCGAGTCCAAGAACCATTAACATCACCCTTAGAATAAGGACTGAATCCATTTGAACGCCTGGCCATTGGTCTGCCTCTACGCATTGGGCCTCCGCCACCGCCGGTCGCACCATTTGATCGGAAATTCGATCCTCCACCACCGCGTCTGATACCACCACCTCTAGAGCTGCCTTGTCTTCCGCCGCCACGACGTCCACCGCGAGACGTTGACCGTTTGCTTTTGATTAGTTCGTCCAAGCTTAAATCCATCTTGAGTAAATGTCGGTGTATTATTGATTCACAAACAAAATGCAGGAAGTTTAGATTCGTGTGAAGAAAACTTAGTAAACGGGAACTACGCTATAAACAACAAAAACTTTAACAAAAATGGCCGCAACGCAAACAACCGCTGATCACACGAAATATCACAATGTTTAATGTTACGTTATTAGTCCGGACGGTTCCATGGTTGCAAATACTCACTATGGCGACTAGCTTGTGTACTCGCATCGGTATGTACCTCAGTGTATCCCCCTGGATTGTACTTAGCTAAAATAGGTTTATTAGTTAATGTTTTTTTTTTTAATATTTCGAAAGATTTCTCCTGTTCTTTTCCTCATATGAACGGTATATTTTTAGATAATAAATCCGTAATTAGTCGTGCAATAACGGCAAATCCTTTAATAAATCGACGAAAAAAACTAACTAGACCTATGAACCCTCGTACCGTTCTAACATTTTTCGGTGTAGGATAGTTTTCTACTGCCAAAATTTTCCTTTTTCCGGGTTCTATGCCACCACTACTTATTTCAAATCCCAAGTATTCTAACCTACGCATAAAAAATTTGCATTTTTCTAGCCTAATAGTGAGCCCTGCGTCCTTGAGTGCTTCTAATACAAGTTTTAGTTTTTTAATGCCTTCTTCCACATCCTTGCTAGGTATAATTATGTCGTCTAGATATGCTAGGGCTACCGAAAATAAAAGATTACCTAATGCTAAATTAACCATTAGCGAAAAAATTGCCGGGCAGTTTGTCGGTCCGAGGGCATTCGTTTAAATTGATAGTGCCCATCCGGGGTAACAAACGAAGTTTTTTCCCGCGTAATAGGATCTTTTATAGGTACTTGATAATAACCACTAAACAAATCTAAATTAGTAAAAAAATAGTTACCATATAACCGATCCAGTTGGTCATCAATACGAGGTAACGGAACAGTCTTCTTGTTGAGCTCTCTGTAATCGACGCACATTCGAATATCGCCGGTCTTCTTATTAACCGGTTTTGAACATCGATAACACACTATAGTTAATTTTTTTGTACAATTTTTTGATAAATGTCCAGTATCTCGACATCGAAAACAAATAACCGTCGATTTCGTCGTAATACGATTATTTGACAAATGACTGTTATTTTTACTATTCACGTGTTTAATTAAATTCTTATCCGATTTTGTATTAGGATATTCGTTTTTGTCTCGTATATATTCGCTTGCGGCAATTAAATGTGGTAATAACTCAGTCGGTCGTTGGTATTTAATTAGAGGACCAAGATAGTCCCGATATCGATCATTTCCCAATCCGCTAACTACCCACTGTATAATTTCGGCGTCACTCATATTTCCACGGTTACATTTTGCGATTTTTTCATAAAAATATTCGATTATGTTCTGTCCATTTTTCCGAGAAAAGTTTTGTGCATCTAATTTTAGTTGCATCACGTCTTCTACCGTAGTTGACGGAAAATTATCTTTTAACAGTTTTACCCAATCGAACCGAGTTCGATCGGCTCGGGGTAAACTGTTCCGCCAAATCTTGGCCACACCAGTAAGTTTTGCTAACGCAAAATGTTGTACAGCCACATCGTCCCAATCATAAAGTATAGTAAATTCTTCAATTTTATCGATCCACTTATCAATCGTCATAGTCGAGTTTATCGGGTTAAATTCCGGTAAAGCACCCGACATATCGCCTAACTAGCGACGGTGTTGTGTTACTATCTCGGTACCGCCATCAACAACATTTTCACCACCTTCAGCCATTGCCATGCAATACTCCAGCCCTGTTGTGGTTATATATAAAAAATCGACTGGTACACTGTAACTTCACTCCAACGAGCCGCTCGTCGCGTATATTCGCGATTTTCCGTCGATCTAAGACGATTATAATATCGATCAACCCCAGTTATAAATAACCTGGTCCGAAACGGCTAAGTGTTCTACGGAACAACCAACACAGTGCTACGTTACTGCCTCACCAAAATAAAACGTACTTTTTTTTTAACGTCGCGTACAACAACAAAACGAAAAAAAAGTCGCGTTAACAAACCAGTCACCAACTCCGTACGACATCCAATACTCATACACACACACACGCGGAACCCCACACCTGAACTGTAAAGACTGACCTTACTGGACAAAATTATAGTATTGTTTAGTAAGGCCGGGTTGTGCCCAAGCGGATGGCGCTTAGGATACGTGTGTTTGGTGTAGGTACGAGTGTAGAAAAATAAATCGCCGAGTTATATTTTATCACTTTATTCGCTTAAAAGACGGACGACAACTGACACTTCGTCGTATCGACGAAATTAACATTATGCAGATGATCTTTGTATTAATCCGATTATGATCATCATATGGAAAAATCTTTCAATCGTAATCAGAGTATACTATAATAATGTATATAGCTAATAAGATAATCATATAACGTATATATTTATAATTCAATTTTCAATATTGCCATAGTATGTACCTACTTAAAAGTGTATTATATTAAACGATATGACGTGTTTTTTAACAAACATAATATGTATGTGTAACGTATTTATATGCTTACACAATTTTCATCGAGACGTAGTGAAAAATATTCATATTTTTATTATTTTCGTAATTCCCATTTTTATCCGGGGACTTTAAACAAGCACGCCGTTTATACCGCGACAATAATATGACTACAGTAAAAAAACGTAGCCTGTGTAAAAAAGTCTCCAGAGATTTACTCTTTAGAATATATGAGGTAGCATGATATTTCTCAAAATAATATTACATATTATATTATAGTATTGTTACTTAAATAAAACTCTTCCGTTTAACTCCGTAGATTGTATAGCTTAGGTACCTATAAAACAATAAGTAACACGAGTATTTTTTTTATTTTTTATTTTTTATTCGCGGTACCTTTAGCTTCAACTACTAAGGTTATTAATTACAAGCTTCGTACTTGAGGATATTATAATGACAACGACGATGTTTTGTTTTTCCAACGGTAAAGTTTTTCGTTCGAACTGTAATAATAATATATTAAACTAAAAATACGTACCTGTATATTATAATAAAATTATGTGGCTAGGTAAAATATTTTTTTAAAGCGTAATTTTTTTTTTTTACTTTGTTGATGATATTACAAATAATAATAATAATAATAATAATACTGTGCGTCTTGAACGGAAAACTTTCGAATTCCACTATAATAACTAAAACAAAAAATAAAATCTAGCTAAATAAAATACACATTATGTATTCATTGAAACTATAGTAGTTTTATGGGCTGGGCTTTAGTTGGATTCAAATCATAAACAAAAGGATGATATTATTTTAACAACTTATCTTGTATGGAGATTCGAAAATTATGTCTTTATATTATTACCATAATTCAATTCGTGTATGAAACAATGTTAATTTGTACGTAGAAAAATTGAAAATTGTACTAATGGTTCCTTATAAAGTTATAAGTTATTTTATTAAGTACCTACTTAAATAATTAGTTTATAGTTAAAAATGCATACAATTTTTAATTTTAATACTCAAGGTTTGGAAATTGAATACATGATTCATCGTAAATTTTTTATATTGAAAAAATGTTGATGTAAAGCCACATATTAGTTGTATGAGAAATTGTTTAAATTTTAATAACATTGACAATGATTGCAATTTTATCAATAAGGTATAAAATATATTATCTGTAACAGTTTTCAACAGTGATGACATGGTTAACAAACACGAAATACATTAGTTATTAATGTTATCAGTGTATGTTAAATGCTATTTCCATGACTGCATAGTGCATAGTGCATATACGTGTAGATTGTAAATTTTTATGCGGACCGATGAATATCTAATTGAATAAACCTATTGATTTTTATGATGCATGTTAATTTTTTTTTTTTTTTAATTTCCATCTGATGTCACCTTAAGGAACACTTAAGAATGTATACTATTCATTTTTATTTATTTATAAGATCTATTGACTTTTATGTGTAAAAACACTGTATTCTTAAAATTGGTACACATATATGAACATCCGGCTGCATCTGAGTTGGGTCTCGAATTTAAAATTGCTACACTAGTTGGGTCCCGGACTTTTTTTTAGATACTATACTAGTTCGGTCCTGAATTATTTTAGGTACAACACTAGTTCTTGAATATTTTTTGGTAAGTACCTATACTACACTATACTAACATTTTCCTTTTCATTTTAACAGACTTAGAACTGTTTGTGATCTATTTAGATCACAGGTATGGTTAAGAATGTTTTTTACAGTTTTTTTTTTTAAATATTAAAAATGTTAAAAACCAAATATAAAACTACATATTATATGATATAAATATAGCCATATAGGTGTAAGCGAAAAAAATATTAGAAATATAAATTATTAAAATTTTGTAAAAAAATAAATTACTTTTGTGTTGGTAAAAATATTAAAAAATGTTCATAATATTTTTAGTATTTTTTCACTTACACATGTATGGCTAATTTAAATTAAATAATATGTATTTTTATACTTGGTTTTTTAACATTTTTAGTATTTTTTCACTTACCTATATGGCTATATTTAATCATAGACAGCAGAACTGTCTGTTAAAATGGGAATGAAAATATTAGTATAGTGTAGTATTTACCAAAAAATATTCAGGAACTAATGTAATACCTAAAATAATTCAGGACTGAACTAGTGTAATACCTATCAAAATCCAAGACCGAACTAGTGTAGTACCTATAAAAATCCGGGACCTAACTAGTACACTACCCGGGATTAGCCCCTATATGGTAGTTTTCACCAAAAATGCCCCTCGACGTTACCGCTACTGGTGGATATTTTTACGCAGGGCTTACTAAGCAGGCGCGAACAAAGCGCAGCAAATGTAAATTAATTACTCATTTGTGTATATTATAAAATTAATTAAATACTGTAATTTAAGTGCCAATGTAGAAAACCACTGTTTTTCTGAAATAGTGTCACTAGTTGCGCCACTGTCGAAGATTACTTTTGTTGAAAACTACTATAGTACTCAAGACTCAACTAGGATGCGCCAGAACATCCATGTTTTTCGGTCATTTATTTTTCAAAGAATATCAAATACAAAAAGATATAACGATAGATAATACCATGCAGGATATAATGTCATAATTATTAGAAAAGAGACTGCATCCGAAATGGTTCCCATACCTGACAATTGACGTCAGAATAATTAAAAATATCTTATAAATAATTATTGGTTGCTGATATTTTATGCAACACACATCTCAATTGGTTCGAGATATTTATTTTTTTAGAACACATCAAAATTGATTCCTATTAGATTTTTAAATTGCAAATTATAAACAGTTTTTCATTTTATGTACTTTAAATTTTATAAAAAAGATGAAATACAGCACCATAATTCAAGTTATCTAAAAAAAATTTCCATAATTTAAGGACACACAAAAAACAAGTTGAAAAAAAAAATAGAATATAAACGTATAAATATTTCTTACCACATAAGAAATAAACTTAATGTAGACGGTCCACAAGTTTATGTACAATTGAAAGAAAAAACTAAATTTCTTTTAAAATTTCAGAACCAACTCGGAAGTATCTTTTTTAACAAACTGGGAACCAATTCGAAGTTTTAGAAGCTTACACCGCAACGAACATAGGAGGTAAATAAGTAGTGTGAGTAAACTATGAAAATAACTTTTCTAATTTTTGTTTTCGTTTGTTATTCTTTTTTTTTTTTGTTTGTTTTTTTTTTTTTTTAACGCCGTATACATTTAATTTATTTGTTTACATGTATAACACATATAAATAATAATAGTGATTAATAAAAATCATCTGTAAGGTAGGTAAATGTTTCGTTTTCACAGTTACAAATATCTCATTTTACTTGATAATATAATAATAATAATAATAATAATATATGTCAACAGACGTAATACAATTAAAATTATTTGAAAAAAAAACAGAAAACACATATATAATGTATGTATATTACTATCGTGAATTTCTGAGGGGAGAAACGGGTCGAGTGGTAAAATTATACCTCGTACATCATAATATATATATAATAGTAGTTATACCTACTAATATTACTATTTACTAACGATTTTGCTAAGTACATAATATATATATAAGTGAAATGGTAGGTATATCCATTGACATTAGGCATACCTCCCCCCATTACGAATTGTCTAACAATTTTGTGTGTAATTGCAAATGGGGTGTATGATATTTATAAGTGTACGTGAGTACAAACCACTGCAATTCACACACGATATTAAAATTTGTCGAAAGAAAGGCGGCGAGTTACAAAATAAAATAAAACAAAATGTAAAAATAAATAAAAACTTTTCCTATTTCGTACACATAATATAATATTATAATTAGTATTTAAATATGAACATCTCACGTACAATATCTAAGTCTATATACACAACAGTCTTTAATAAAAAAAAAAAAAAAATTGTATAATATAATAAATCAAATTATATATATATATATATATTATATACTTAATTTTAAAATTAATATATAATAAACGATCACCGTACAAAACGAACAAAATAATGTTTTAAGGATATTCCACCCTGTTCTATCACATATCATATTATTTTTTTTTCGCTTTTTTTTTGTTGGTTAAAATTTTTACACGCGCCCGCGATACAAAAAACGAAAAAAATACCTCGGTGGCCATGTTATCAAAATCAACTAATAAATGTCACTACATAACAATAGTTGCGTAAGAATAGCGTGTGTGTGTGTGAGAAAGAAAGAGAGAGAGAGAGAGAGAAGAGAGAATGAGAGAGTGGTGTGTTTTCGATTAAATTGCCAGACGAAGAGTCAGATCAGATTTATAGACTAAAAATTTGTTGGTCCAAACTGGCGTAAAATCATCCTGCACATAGGCATGCTACAAAAACCTCGGTGCTTTTATTTCACATGGATTCGAGCGAACGAATTTCTACAGGTTCTGACATTTTCTATAATTTATATTTTTAAACTATCTAATACATTAATTAAATACAATACAGACATACACACACTTATATGTATAAATACATACGCCTATGGCAGTGGAAACGCGTATAAATCCTTGGGGGAAAACACTAAAAGACTACCATGTATACATATATATATATATATGTTTATTATTTAAACAAAATATATAAGAATAAAAAATATAATAAACAGTCCAGGAAGACACAATAATAATGAAATCATGTTAAAATACGTAAAGTACGTATAGTCATTATAAACGCAGGCCATTTTTATCTTATGCAAGTTATCTGTTATTTTAAGCGAATAATAATTATAATAATAATAGTAATAAATTATATACATACGATCAGTCGTGTTTTCGAAAGTTTAAGACAATAATAATACAGATCAATTCGGTGCGCGCCAATAGTTGAAAGTACAGTCGAAAACAATACTATTAACGTACGTCGTTGTAACTTTTACTGTACTGATGAACTCTCTCGTTTTGTGTGTATATCGTTGCATAATTTGAAATCGAAATAGATTAAAAAGAAAAAATTATAATAAATTACACCGATAAAGTTCACAACAAAAATCACCAAATTACTATTTAATACAGAAAAATAATATTTTCTCTGTAATTAGAATTTATGAAAAATAATTATTGTATTTCCATCAGGCATGTATTTTTTATCTATCAATATAATGTATTGTGCATTGTATAATATATTGTGTGATTATTTTAAACTTGAATTTGATTTTGTTCAATATCAAAAGAATGTAACAAAATAATAAACATTAATTTCAATAATTTAATTAATACAATAAATTAATTAAAAAAAAAAAAAAAATACATAAATGCTATTTGTTTTTTTTTTTTAGCTAATTCATTATACAAATACTATACATGAATTTTTGGTACTGTATCACATTAAAAAAGGGTTTTGTTCAATTGTAAGTAAACATTTTGACACAATTTTAAAACTGATTTGTCTGTAAAAGAATTACGAAATGATTTGAGGTAGATTTGATGGTTATCCGCGTTTACACAAAGATAAAAATGGCGATAGATAAATTTATAAAAATACGTAATTAACTAATTATACATTATTGTATCAGATAAAAAATATTTGTCACTTTATTTTGTTTTAATTTAATCTAATAAATCTGTCAAAATAAAGTTATAGTTAAATTCTACAAAGATTTTGTTTAGAAAAAAAAAACAAAATAAAAACAATGTCAACGGAAACAATATCATTGAATTTCTGACACTATTCAGCACAGATATCTACTATCACCTGAATTGAATTTAAGAATTATATTCTTTCCCTTTGAATTAATCACAGTTATTCGATTTTTACATTGAAAACAAGTATAAATCATCTCTTTAACATTTTATACCATTTGATCATGTTATGTTTATTGCCACAGGACTTTGACCTATACATACCCCAATCATGTCATCTTGTTCTTGTTTCGTTCGATTGGAATGGGAAGTTGGCACCCGTGCAACAGGTTGTTGTACTGGTGGTGGTGGTGGGTGATTATGCAATGAATGCAATGAGCGTGGAGGTTGTGATTGTATTGGTTGATATGGGTGATGTTGTGGATGTAGGAACGGCAAAGAGGTGGGTCGACAGTGAACCAATGCACCGACAGCGGATGCTGGGTTCATTGGGTAAACTGTAGCATGATGAGGCAGATTGTGTCTAGCCATTGGTGCCGTTTGATAACCGTGGTACATTGAAGCGATCGGTGGAGGATCACAATCCATTGTAGTTCTACCTCGGCACTGGTCTGATCGCAATCTTATTGCTAAAAAAAATAAACTAATTAGATTAAGCATTAACGTATTATTAATAATTACTAAACAAAATAATTTAAAGGAAATAAAAACTTAACAAAAATTCTTTAACATCAAACAAGCAATACTACTAAGATAAATCAGTGCAAATACGATGTACGTATTAAATCTAAAAATATAAATAATAAATAGAAATAACTAAGAGCCATTTTGTTTTTAATTTCAAAACATAAAAACAAAATAAGTTTTAATTAAACTTTAGTTAACACTTTGATCAGTCTTGAATGTTAACAAACGAATAAAAAAAATATCTTCAGATTATGTTTATCAAGAAAATAATTTAAAACCTATTTAAGAAATATTATATGTTTACATTTCATAAAATTTTCAATGTAAATAATATAAATACTTCATAATCAAAATAGTTAAACTAATAATTTTATAAACAATACTCTTACGTTTACAAATTAAAGAAAAAACTAATAGCTAAATAAATAATACCAAATTAATTTAGTTGTGTAGTAAAATAAAATGAATTACTGAACTGAAAAAAAATAAATTTCTTAATTCTTGATAAATTAATAGCATTTTTCTTTAAAGTTCACACTAAGTTTATATATTATACATCATAATATTACCAACAATTTAATTAAATACACATATTATCATGAAATCTTTATTTATGTCTCATAGTTTTATATTAATTATTAAAATACGTAATTAATTTTAACAAAAGTATAACATAAAATCTTTGTTAAACTAATTTAACCATATTTAAATATGGCCAAAATTGAGTATAAAAGTATATGTAAGTAATTTGTTTTCATCAAGTAAATTGTAACTAAGTAAAATTTTTAAAAATTGAACAACTTCATATTCTTAATTTTTTTATTATTCGACCATTATTTGGGCAATGGGTACAATTTAATTTAAGTATTTAAAATGCTTCAAAAAAATATTTTAATTAATTATTTAATAAAATAATATTTACTTGAATGCAATTTTTCTTTAAAGTACCTTTAAAGTAAAATAAGTACTATGTTATTTGAAATAAGGACAAAATTTTAACTATATATTTTTACAAAAACGATTTACAAAATTGCATTATGTACATTAGATTTAAATTTCCATGATCTAAAAACTTCATCATCAAAACATTAGTTAAAATACATCTACCTAAATAGTAAAATATTAACTTTATACCAATTGTATATGTTTTTAGTACAAGATATAACTGTTTTTCTTCTCTAAAATAACTATTAAGTTTAATACTATTATACACTATATACAAACAAATAATGTACAAATTTAAACTACAAAAAATATGTTTATAATCTCATATCTACTTAAAAAAAAAGTTATAATAAGATGATATTGTGCTTAAAAGAAGTATGATTTTTCTATCAAATTATGATTCATATTGTCAAATATTAAAGTTTAATGGCATGTGTGTGTATATACATTTATCTAATATACAGTTTAATAATTAATGTTATTACTCAAAATTAAATAATATTATTTACACAAATACACGTCACATTATTAAGATTAGACTTACACTTTTTTTTGAAATCTAATACGTTGACCCAAAGTTTAGCAATAGTCATCGAGCGTAAAAATGTGTAGGGAAAGTGTTTCCTTCAAGGTAAGCAAAAAAAAAAAAAAAATAATAATAACAATAGTACATAAATAAATATTAAAATATTAATCTTAAAAATATCAGTAACAATGTCTATAATTTTGTTTTGTAATTAATATTCAAATTTAATAATAATTAAAAAAAAAAACACATACACAATATAAACATATCCTTAACATGAATTAAATATTAATTAATGGTATTCTTACCAGATGATTGCACATTAGTATCTCCTGGATTACTACTAGGTAAACTATTAAATGGTGGACTAGCACCTAAGCTATGTAGTCCAGCTTGAGCGATACCACTAGCTGTATTAGTGCCCTCTTCAGAAGTTCGCTTGAAGAAGTTGTGTTGTAAAGCATAATATGGTGTAATTCGAGTTTTTGGATCATAATCCAGCATTCGTACAATAAGATCCTAGATAATTTTATAAATTTTACAATGTGTCAAACACTAGTTTTATTATTGAACTATTAGAAATACTTACTTTAAATTTAAGATAGTCAGACACTGAATGTCCTGGTTCACCTAAACGCCTAGCGTATGGACCTCCTGTTTCGACACCTAATATATCATGTAATCGTCGACCACCTGGATTTCTATACTTTTTGGCATCTTTAGGTTTTTTTAAAGTGTACGAATCGACACCAGGCATTTTATCAAAATATTTGTGAGCTTTCTGTGCCTGATCAAGTATATGTTTAGGTGGCATGCCAAGAACTTCGATAATTTTATTCATCTGATCTACCTAAAAATTAAAATTAAATTAGTTAACATTTTATTATTTAACACTATTTAGATTTTTAATAAAACATACTTCATTCGTTCCGCTAAATAACGGTTCACCTGTATGCATTTCTACTAATATGCATCCTAAACTCCACATGTCAATAGCCAGATCATATGGTATACCAAGTAAAACTTCTGGTGAACGATAAAATCGAGATTGAATATATTGATATATCTATAATAAATAAGTTAGTTGAACATTACAATTTTTAAGGGAAAATGTAATTTTGGTAACTTACTCTTTGGCCAAGTTGACAAGATGATCCAAAATCTACTATTTTAATAGCTGATCTTTTAGGATTGCACAACAATATGTTTTCTGGTTTTAGATCACAATGTATGATGGACAGGTCTGGCGTGGACAGGAACAAAAGAGCCGTGCATAGTTGAGCAGCAAATTTGCGTGTAAGATTTAAAGAAACACCTTTAAAATTAGTGTTCCTAATCAAATCATACAAGTTATATGATAATAACTCAAATACCAGGCACAGATGATTACGCCACATAAAATGACGCTTGAGTTTAACTGTAAATAATTATTATTGTTTATTAAATTTACCAAACTACAAATTCTTATATTTTTCACATACCAATATAATATTTGTTGTCAACATCAGCTCTATTCATCATTTCTAATAGTCTTACTTCAATTTGAGCTTGATTTAGGAATGGTTTTTTGTTCTTTATTATTTTAATCGCTACATAACAATCTTCTTCCTCGTCACGAGCTTTAACAACCTAAATAAATAATAAAAAATAATTTTTTCCTTTAGCTGATAATTAACGTTTGATAAATAATGTAACTTACTTGTCCAAATGATCCTTTGCCTAGTAAGGATATGATTTCATAGCGATCTAAAAACTTTTCACCACTTCTAATTATATAATCATGATTGTCATCATCGTGACCATCATTATATACTCTTCTTTCTTTTTTATTGGCTACAGGACCTTCAACGGGGGCCCCATTGTTTTGAGGTTGACTACTCAACCCAACTGCTCCGCCACCAGCTCTTTTCTTTTTCTTAGCATAGTAGACCTAAATTAATATAAAAAAATAATAAATTAAGTAAACAAAGTTAATAAATATAAGTTAAAACATACAAAATTAAATAATTGCTTAAACATTTAGGTTTTATTGTATTCCACTAAAATAAAGATAAAAAACACATTAAGCAGTAGTTATAAAAATGATTCTGATAATGGAATTTAATACAAGGCAATCATTATTTATGGTGTTATCTAAGTATTTAGAACTTGGTTACTATGATTAAATAACTGACCTTTGACATTTTAAAATTTAAGATATAATATAAGCCATATAAATATATTTGCGCTTGATAAATAGTATAAGAATGAAAAAAATCAAAAATGTATAAACATCATTTTTAAAACAACTTCTATTTTAACGTAGTTCAACAAAATGAAAAATGAATATAAATATTACTACTAATGCGAACATTGGACATAGTGAATATTGTAATTTGTAGATAGCTCAATGCTAAAAATCAACAAATAATAATGTTAGATGAAATAATGGATCAAATTGTACCTCATTAATAAACTTATAAGTTTTGATTAAATCCACTGAAAGCTTTCTCAGCGGAGCTGATGATGGATCTCTAAAATGAGGTGGTATTCTTGCTTGCATCGCATGAATATCAGCGTGCACTGGAGCAACACCACCAACCATTGGTAATTGGTCTTCAGCAACAAGTCTTCCATATAAGGGACCACTGCCAAAACCAAAGTTACTGTCTTGAGATCCTTGTCCATGGTCTAGATAAATTAATAATAAAATATGAGAATATTGCAAGCATAAAGGTAGTACACTTGAATAATTATTTAAATTTGTCTAAAATCAATACCAAATTCTTATTAATATATTCTATGAACTTTCAATGTTAAGAGTAAAAGTATCCAATTTAATTAACATTATTCTAAGAGATTAATAGTTATCTTTGAGTAATACTTATTTTATACTATTGTTATTTAATACCATTCACTAACATTTATTTGATATTGTTCTAAAACTAGTATCCTTAATGTTGATCATTAAACAATTCTTTAAATAATGGGAGGAAAAATAATGTACTGAGCAAGGCCACAACACTAAGATTAACCTGACTATTAAATTATTGGTTTATTTTTAATTAACTACATACAGTATGTATCTGATGTACAATAAATAATTAAAATAATTATTATCTAATTGTTCTTGCAGTCAAAAAAATTCCAAATCCTACTTATTGGAATGATTATTGATTCAAGTTTATAGTAATCAAGTACTTACCTAAATTTTAAATTGTTAAAAAATTAAACAAATTTTTTAAATCAATAACATATATATATATATACATAGAACAATCTTCTCCAAGTAGAATTTGGAATTCAAAACGTGTAGACTGATTAACTAAACTCTATAAATAGTTTCGACAGTACAGCAAATCTATTTTTAGTATATGTCATCTAATCCCCAACGATATGCCTGCCAGTGAATTGATTAAAATATGCAAGTAAGAAAACCCATTTTAAATAATTAATTGACATTGATTGATAATCTAAAAGTATATAACTTAAATGATATGTTAAACTTAGTTACTATAAATTTCTAATTATCAGCAACACTGAATAGAACTAATAGAAGCAAATCAAAACCCTTATATATACAAAAGACTAAGTTTAAATCAAATACCAATTGACAATTTAAAAATGAAAATATAAATTACCAATTCAACATTCAACTAACTCAATAGCTCTCTTATATTATTATAGTTAATTTTTTCAAACAAGTATTTAATTTTAAATGTATTTAGTTCCTACTGATAGGGACAGTTGTTTTGTACATCGGAAGCATATCTAATGCACAATTAAAAATAAAATAAATTATACAAGATTGTCTGGATCAAACTATTAACCCTATATAATTATTATAAAGACAGTTTAAAACCATAAGTAACAACTATTCACATTTTTTTTTTTTTTTTTCAATACAAATATTATCAATACACATTATTCTGAATTATTTTTCAGATCATTCAATAGTTATTTGAACTGTCTTTGATTTACTATAAAATAAACTTTACACTTAAGAACATAAAGTTCCTCACTTACAGACCACATTAATATTTTATGACAGTAAATATTAATGAACTGGTCTAATTTATATATAGGTTATATACGAATTAACTCACTTTTCGGTAAACAGGAATTTAAAGAAAGTTTTCATCATATACAAGTACCTACTAGTTCCAAACAGGAAAAACATTTAAGCACTAAGTGGAAAAAATATTGAGCATCGAGCACGAGGTGAATGTCAATGAAAACAGAAAATTAATTATTACATCACACAGTTGTTAAAGTGAATGTTTAAAATGTAATCTATAGTTATTACAGCGGTTGGATAATTGATGATTAATTTCTCGTACATATATCTCTCGAAATGGCTGTACACAAATTGAATTATGAAAGATAAACGGCATTCGTTTTAAACAATAGAAATTCAATTTGATTATCAAAACAGTTGTCTAAACATATGGTTTTGTGTAGAGGATTCATTGTGTTCAAATGTAGGCAATCATTCAAGGACGCTTCCAACATCTGGTAAAAAAATTGTTTCAGAACACACCGATTCAGGTAAAGAGACACAGTGACATGACAAAGGTTGTGGGGGCCATGTCTAAGCACTGACCGTTATTAGTTCGAAACCAATGTCGGTCAGTTCCGAGAGAAATCTCAAACTGTCGGCGAACAAAATGTTATTAAAATGTTAATAGCGCGTTAGGTACACTCACTCTTGTTTTTCTGTTTTTCGACCATCATGAACGGCTCGTGCTTATGCCAACTGTCCGCTTGCTTGGCTCCGTTGCTGCCGTCCATGTCTCAATCGGTAGCCGGCAACGCGTTGCCGGTTTTCAAGAACACCATCCATGCAAACGCATAGTGTCACAATGGCAATTGGTGTCGAGAATATGGTCAGGGGGGGGGCTGTCGACGATCGGCTAGACTCTGGACAGACAAAAAGCTTAGTAAATAAATGACCGAACTTGACCCGTGGACGGCGTCCACAGCCGGATGCGATGACACAAGACTTTCCGCGACCCAATAACCGACCGGCAGACGCGCGCGAGTGTCCGAAGAACACCCGTGTCGCGACGGACAGGAGGGGTCAAAGCTCGCGCCAACAACAGTACGGCGTGCTGGCGCGCCACACTTACATAGTCCGAGTGTGCCGGTCACCGAAGTGTGCTGGCCGGAGAAGGCTCACGAACGCCCGTGGCCGTGGTCGCGGCCGCTGCTGTGAATGACGACGACGACGACCACCACTACTAAGCACGGCTGCTGACCGACGTGAAGCGCGCCGTTACGACGACGACGGCGGCGGCGGGCATATGCCCTTTTTAGGCGGTATCGTACGTCGCCCGGCGATAACGCGACATCGTCACGTAACGACAACGACGACGGCGTGCGTCTTACGGCGTACACACACGTACGAGACGAGATACACACAGGTACCAGTCGAAGTCGACACTCTGTGATCGTTACCGGTCGGAGTGTCCTACTGTTATCGTCGTTGTATCGGCGACGATTGTAATGTGGTTAACAGCACGCGCGCACAAGGAGCAGCGCCGCCGACGACGACGACCGCGAACCGATCACCACCGCGCGGACGAACGTTGACGGCCGACGACAATCGTAACCGAATTTGCAGCAGCACTACGCCAGTGGTAGTTGCGGAGACGCGGCACGCGACGACGACTCGGCATAATCCTTCAAAGCGACGAGTGGACGTACATGTTTCACGCTGGCCAGCGATATCGTTGTTTGTTTTCTGTTATGATATTGTTACTCTACAACAGCGACGATGATGACGACGACGACGACGACGATGATGAGAAACCGTAAAACGGAAAACAGAAAAGTAGCAAAATAAAAAAAAAAAAAAACGTTTATACGATTTCCGTGTATTTACGTTGAATCGGATGACCGCGAGTCGCGATACGATTTTTTATTTTAATTTCCAATCGTTTAATACAATAATAGTAATAATAATAATAATAATAATAAATAAATAATAACAAATGGTTTACGACGCGTTATCGCTGACTGCCGTGTGCTAACACAGTAACACACGAAAAGCACGCACGCACGCACGCACAGACTCGGTTGTCGCGCATATAAATTGCAGTCTATATTATAGTCATCGCCCGTCGGGGCGGTCTGTCGTGGAGTGTGCACTGTGGACGTGCGGGTGACGGTGGAGGCGACGACGGCGGCGGCGGTTGCGTCGTATATACTCGTGTGCTCCTGGTACTTACGGTCTCGTACCAATGATCTACTACTGTACCGCCTGTACCACACTACCACCGACAAAGTTCGCGTTTTTTGAACGCTACCATAGTCGCCGACTTGGAAGTTAAGAAGTCGGCACAAATATAAATATTAGGCGTTTTCGTCATGAATATTAGCAACCAACTCGAAATTCAAATATCGTGATTTACGTCCTCGCAAACTGGCGGATGCCACGATATTAGCCTTTTTTAGACTATTTGTCCAATTCAACGCTGTTGGGACCTGGGGAGACTTTATATCATCAAAAACGGCTTTCTTTCGTACCGATTACTCTTTTTCTAATTTTCTATGCGTCTCGCCGTCAACTGTCAAGAGGAATTCGTTCCATCGCGGCGCCAGTCAGTGAAACGGCAACTGCTGTTGGTCGATCGTGCCGTCGGACCGCTCGACCGCACCAATGAAGTACGCCGTTCGATACTTCGATGCGCGGTTGAGTAAATGTTATGCAACAAGCTTGCGTACTTAGTGCTGCTATCTAACGGTCGAAGGTTCCGCGACCGGTTGTCTGTTAATTTTCACCGCTCTGCAGCGGTATGCTCCACATATAAACCCATAAACCTCTACAGGTAATTAATTTTTTATTTTCATGCTACGACCAATGAACGATACACGACCGAATCGGTGATAAGCTCATCGTGGTAGATAACGACATTTCATGATAACACAATTTTCGATTTGCATTTCGCGGTAGTGCGGTAATTCTTAAAAACAATGTGCTTACGAATTTAACGTTAAGTCAATAACTAAAATTATTTTGATTTCGTATCAACAACAACTAACAAGATGTCTCGTCCAGAACATTTAGCTCCACCAGAAATCGTGAGTTTTGTATACCTAATCATTTTAAGTTATTTTTTTATTTCTAACTATATCATAGGCTACTGCATATTAATGCTTTGATATTATTGATAATTTTACATCTTTCATTATGTGTACTACACTATGTATGTGCCTATTACATAAAGAATGGAAAGACATTCTTAATAAATACTAATATGTTAATAAATATTCAATTTTTTTCTGCAGTTTTATAATGATGATGAAGCTCGAAAGTATACCCAAAAGTAAGTAACCTTAAGTCTTTGAAGTAATTGAGTACTTTAAGCTTTTGCTGAACAATTCTATTTATATCTTTATTTTTAGTTCTCGAATGATTAATATTCAATTAGAAATGGCTGAAAGGTGTATGGAATTGTTGATGTTGCCCGAAGACGAACCATGTTTGCTATTAGATTTAGGTTGTGGTTCTGGTCTAAGTGGCAGTGTTGCTGAAGATTCTGGTCATGTTTGGTTTGGAATGGACATTTCAGACTCCATGTTGAGTATGTTAAATTAACTATTTTCGTAAATTTTACAATTTGAAATTATTAGTGACAATATACAATAATGTATTTAGCAATTTTTACATTCAATATGTGTAATTAATAACTCATATGAATTTTATGAACTTGGTTATTTATACATATATTATGTTATTCTTTATGTAATTATTTATAAAAAAAAATTTAGTTGCTCATATAAAATATTGAATGTAAATATTTTTTGTTTTACCGAAATACAAAGGCACAATGTATTGAATTATACATTTAAAATACATTTTTTTATTAGGAGTAGCAAAAGAAAGAGAAGTCGAAGGTGATTTATTGTTAGGAGACATTGGTGATGGCGTTCCATTTCAACCTGGTACATTTGATGGTGCATACAGTGTAAGCACATTACAATGGTTATGTAATGCAGATAAATCATCACATAAACCTGCTAAAAGGTTATATACTTTGTTTTCATCATTATTAGCTTGCTTGGTAAGTGTTACATTCACATTATAATTTTTAATTATATTTAACTACAGATTGGTTTGATTTTAGGGACGCAACGCTAGAGCAGTCTTTCAATTTTATCCAGAAAATGTACATCAAACAGATTTGGTTGTATCACAAGCGAGAAAAGCTGGATTTTTTGGAGGTTTGTTGGTTGACTTTCCTGATAGTACTAAAGCAAAGAAATACTTTCTTGTTTTGATGACTGGTGGTGCTATGCCTATGCCTGCAGCACTTGGTACAGAAAATTCACAAATTAATTATACATCAAAAAGGTAACAGTGGTATACATACTTGTAAGTGATAAAATAGTTGATTTATTCATTTAATTAATGATTCACAGAGAAAAAATGACAAAAGGGCGTGCATCAAAATTAGTCAAAAAAAGTAGAGAATGGATTTTAGAAAAAAAAGAAAGGAGAAGACGTCAAGGAAGAACTACTAGAGAAGATACCAAGTACACAGGACGATCAAGGAGTGGACGATTTTAATTTTAATTATACTCTAATTTAAATGTTGTAAATTTCAATATACTCTTGTTATTTATTTAAGAATAAAACTTCCATAGTATTATCTTATTAGATTTTCTTAATTCTTGATTATACCATCATATCTTGTTTCTGCCATGTATATTAAGTCAATTTTAATATAAAATCAATACCAATCTTTTCTTTATGCATGATATTAAACTATTGGGTTGTTGAAACAAATTTTTGAATTTTATTGTGTAACTTTTTCCATTTTTAAATTTTAAGATTGGCGAATTAATGAAAATTAAAGTTTGTGTACACAGGAACAAACCTATCATTAGCATACATACTTTTAACATTTGAAAATTTGACATTTCTAATATAGTTTGTAATTTTATAAAACATTTCCTGCTGTAATACCACAAACTTTTCTGAGGCTGTACTTAGATACTATCAATTGTCATTTATTGTAATTATGTATGTAAAGGATTTATTATCTAACATTTATTTTTCATACATATTTAAAATGTAGTTCTCTTAAATGTTCATTATTCTATTTCTATGTTGAATTTCCTCATTCATCAGACTGTGCAATAGGTTTTATCATTACTAATTGAACCTGGTATACAGTTCTTTAGTCTTTTTGTACTTAACTCTACTACACATTGACTTTAAGGAGACAAAGAATGAGAACCACTTTCTCAATTCATTGGTCTCGATGATATTATTTCAAATGCCTATCTTAATCATTGTTAGAACTTAAAAAATGGGATCCAAATAATATACAATATGCACCAATTCATATTTTGACTTTAGAGAGAAAATGACATGCAATTTAAAACAAATAACAATGTCTATTGTCTGAACAAGTGATTAATTTAAAAGTTTTATAGTCTTCAATTAATTTGTGATACAGACTGCAAAACTTAAAACAATTTATGTCTTATTCTTTATGATAAAGAATATTGATATTACATTATTTCAAACTTTTATGTTGTCTGTAATTAATAGACCTGTAGCATTAATTAAGGATTTTAAGCCTACATAGGTCATCAAACTTGGCATGTGCAATGTGGTGTACTAAGTATTAATTTTTTATTACTAAAATACCATACAAATTAACAAAATAGGCACTAAATAAACCTATTTTGTCACGTGAAATACCGAGTGGCGAATACTGAATTAAGCGCCATCTTCGTACGCCCAAAACTCAGAACTCAGAAATGCAGAATGCAATACTTTACTACACTACTACCGCACATGGCTAAACAGTAAACTTAAGTAATTACTAATTAACCATACTAGACACTATATAGTATACTAATGCGAAGTGACGTGAGAGACACTGAGACATGAGTCGTGACTTTTGTAAACGTGTAACCAGTACTTTATATTTGATATTTGACGTATTTCGGTTACAACTTGCAAAATGCAAAATGCAAGTAGTTTGTGTTTGTGAATTTGTGATATTTATAAACAGTTTTATTATTATGGTGTAGCCAAGAACCATTTCGGGTATGATAATTTTTACTAACCATAGTTGTAGTTATTACCACAATACCACGACTCGTGCAGTCGTGCGCACACGCAGTAGTAATTAGTGATTGCTTTGTCGTTAGTTAGTTCGGTCGTGTGATAAGTCCTTTGTGTAGCGATTGAGCGTAGAAAAGGAAGGAAAATTGTCGCTGCACAAAAGAACGACAGCTAGTGAACGGTGAAAGTCTTGCCACCGATTCGTCTGTAAACGAATCGTTTACCGTATTGATTGAGTAGTCTCAATAGCACTCCGCGCTCATAGCGCTCAGTTGACGACAGTACGACAACGTCGACAACACGTTCGGTTATCTCAATTTTTGTGATCCGTTAAAATAAATATTTCGTATAGAACAAATGGTGCGGTAAACGAAGAGTTACTTATGCGACCAGTGCCGGGCACTTTGAGTTGTGCCGTCGCGCGTCTGCACGCCCGAAAGGTAAATACCGAACCGAATATTACCACGCGTTTTAAATGATCTTGCACTATGTCCTTGCGAATGTTTTGTAATAAGTAAATTGTATATGATGTATCGATGTATTGTAAATTGGTTTAATATGATCTGACGGTTAATGTCGTAATCACTTCTTGCGATTCCCTCATACCCTATTCGTGCGAACATTTTTAAATTTTTGATTTGAAAAAATCGATCGCCGATTTAGAAATAGTATCCATTTAGCAATTGTTTAGACAATCAGTTCAAAGTAGTTCATTCGTTTACCATAGGCGTTCTACTGAAATCACTCACTTGTTAGATTCTAATTGTCTGAAAACAGAATCAAATTGTTGCAGCTGTGTGTGTAACTTCACGTCTGCGGTCTATGTGTTTCGAGTCTAATAATGTGTAGGACTAAAGAAGAATCCATGTTGTGTTACCTTGTCCATAAATTGTAGTTAATTTAATTTTCAATGGTAATTATAATACAATATGAATAAGAATACAAAGTATCATAATTTCAGATTTTATTTTGTAGTTTTAATCTTATACTACTTCATAACATTAGAACTAAATTGTGTTAGATGCTTAAATTTTTTTTTTTAGTTTGTATTGTGTTCAGTTGTATTACCATTAATCAACTAACTCTTAAAATTGTTTGTTTAATGGGCTGCATCTTTTAATAGATAGCTAGTCTAAACAATTTTTAATCTCAATTTCATCATTAACTTTTTTTTTTGTTTAAAGTTTTAAATAGCCTACAGTGTAATATAATAAATAATTCTAATTTTAATAGAATTGAAAATTTTAAATTAAAACAAAATATATTTAATGTACAAATTTAGTGATTCTGTTATTTAGATTTACCAAATAACATTTATTTATACTTAATGGCAGATTTTAATAATATGTTGCAAGTAACTATAAATGTAGTTTAGCATAAATTTCTTTGTAGGTAATAAAAGTCATGGATAGAGAAGCTCAGTGTAAAACTAAAGAAAAAAGTATAATTAATAAAATGTAGGTATATTGTGTAATTTAAAAAAAAGTAACTTCTGTTTATATTTTAATAATTGTTTTTCTACTAAGTATGTTTGTCTTTTTTTAAATATTATAATTTATTGCTATCCTTTGTTAAATTGAGTTATACTAGGATAGTTCCTTAAACTTTTATAATTTCTATTAGTTGTAAACATGTTTAAAGAATCTAATTTAATTGTTATATCATATTCAGATTCAATTTTTCCTATTTAGTTGATGTTTAACTATTAAAATATCAAAACTTTAAACAATTAGGCTATTTGTATAGTCTAAATATCTAATTTATGTACAAAAAACAAATAAGTACAGCAATAAATAGTATGTAAAGTAATACATATTTATTTAATATTTAACTCACTTTTTATTCAACTATAGAAAATTTATGTGTCAGTGGTGTTAGAACAATATTTGTCTATGATCACATTAAAATATTTCTTATCTATTTGTGATGGAAAATGAAGGACAACAAAGGGCATCAATTTGATCTGTTTTGAATAAAATACAAATTAATCGACATCATCTGTATCCATTAGATTTTTAATTTATAATCATATTATTGTATTGTTCATGTAATTAATTACTAATTACCTATATAATCAAGTTAAAACTATTAAAATAAAATTTTTTTTTAAATACTTAACAAAAGTATAACTTATGCTTGTTGACTTAGTCTACTTATTATTGTATAATCAAATGTTTTAATCTAATTTAATGAATATCATTTTTTTTTAGTTCAGAATGGATAAAGTAAATAAATTCATTCGACCAATAGGATTCAGGCGGCGAACAAGATCTGCCAGTAGCGTTGGTATGTTATAAATTATATTGGAAACTAACCTATTCATTATTTTTAAACTTATTTTATTCATGTTTTAGCATATCCTGATAATAAAGCTCAAAGTGATGATTCTAGTAGTAATTCCAAAGATGTAGGAGTGTCTAGTATTTATCACGTAAGAACACTTTAAAAGATTTTATGAACATTAATAATTTTTAAGAGTAATAATGTAATTTATTATAAAAATAGAGTGATTCAGATGATATAAGTGGTGCTCAACAACCAATTCGATTTGCTTTACTATCAAAACATTTAATGCATTTGGAATCAGATTCTGTTAATGAAAATTTTACTCCTGGGAGACCGTTCACTAGAAGGTATAATTTATTCCAATAATTAAAATATTAGTTTAATCTAATTTTCTCATCATTGTTTATTTATAAAATATTAACTTTTATATATATATATTTTTTTTTTTTTTTTTAAAGAAAAAGAAAATTTAAAAAAATGATAGTAGATCCTGATGTAAAGTTTCCTTCACAAATTACAAGTAGTTGTTCTCAAAGTAGTAGCAGTGAGAAGAGAAGAACTACACGTCACTCGGCTAGCATGCCAAGGTAGGTACTATTGTTATACATTTTATAGTTTTTTTAATGTTTATCTTTGTTCAAATAAATAAATACAACTTGTTGTTCAAATTCAAAATTCATTAAATTATCATGTAATTCTTTAACAATTTAGAAACTGTGGATCATTGATCTTGGCTATTGGTAAAAGAAAACGCAGTAATCGAGAAATTATAGCTGGTAGTTGTCACCAGGGTACTTCAAATATAAAATCAATGGATATAGACATTGCTAGTAGCTCAAGTAGTATTAGTTCCTCAGAAAGTGAAGCTGGTATTTTTACTAATGATGAAGGAAGAGAAGGTAAAACCAATCTCAATGAGAGTTATATATAATTATGATAATAAAAAAACCATTATATAATGTTTAGGGGATGATGAACAGAGTGATTGGGTCGGTAATGCATGTGGAGCTGGTGGAGTAACTGATGATGATGCTGAACCAATGAAAATTGATTGTCAGAAATTATTATCTGTAAATTTACAAAATAGTGCTTTAACTGAAGGAAGAGGACCTGGACGTATGCCAGTGTGGCATAGAAATACTTTTCTTAAGGTACTAAAAATAATTTTTTTTTGTTGTAATATTTTGTCATAGTAATAATAATAAAAACATATTTATGTATTATTTGTTTAGAAGAGTGATAGAGAAATTCGTGGAGGTTTACGCAGAGTTCGATCAGTTAAACCTAGTTTCTCTGTCATAACTTCAGCTAATGAAAAAGTATCTCGTTTTTTACGAGATCCAGCTCAGTCTGAATTAAGGTAATTATTTTCTGCTTATTTCATGTATATTTTTTAAATTGTAACTAAAAGTAATTTATATTTTAGACTGCATCCAATGCCAAAAAAGGAACAAGATCAACTGTCGCATTTAGCAGAAATGTATTCTCTTCATATGCAACTTAATGACTCACCAAAAAAAGGAGTTACTTTGACCAAAACTGAGTTAGTGTTTTTTTCATATAAGTTAACATATATTATATTGAATTAATTTTTCAGCAATACAATTCAAGTAGATTTAGAAGCTCCATTTTCTCATCTGAATCCATCAAAAGATCACAAAAGAAAGAAATCTGCATCTTCTGGTAATAAAAAGATAATCATAGTACTTATTAGTATTCATATCAGCCTTATCAATATTATCTTTTTGACTTAAATGGAATATATTATATCTCCTTTACATAGGTCACCCCTTACATGATATACTTATAACATATAGTCATTTTAAACTACTCTGTAGTTGGACTTAAACTTGATTGTTATCATACCATATTTATTGTGTTCGATTAGTAGTATAAATTTGTTGTCAATATTTTTTTAGAAGATTTGGTTACATTATATATTTTGTATAAAAATGAATTAAGGACAATATAGTATTAATAATGATAGTAATTAATAAAAATCTTTTTTCTTTACATAGTTATTAAATGTATGAAAATGTTCTTTTCTTAAGGTTAATTTTGTTTCATGTTATCATTGTACTAAAAATTACTTATTTACTTGTTAATTTTTTTCAATGCCTTAAACAAAAAATCATTTACACAGTTTTAACCACTGTGTACAATGTACAGTCACATAATATTTTTATGAATCAATATAAGTCATAATCCATTAATATCAAAACTAATTTATTGCCTAATCAAAATTTAACTTAAGTAATAAATTACTGTTTCAGAATTAAGTTTAGGCTTGCAAGCATTACATAATCAAGCATGGATACCTATAGTTCTTGAAGACAAGCCTTGTACATCATCTCAAACAGAAACATCAAATCAGAACAAATGAACATGATTATATATTTGTGCCAACTAGTAAGGCTGAAACTAAAAAATGCAGCTTTAACATGCTTGTTTTACTATTTATATATATTTTATATATATTATTATTTTTGTTGACATGTCAACCAAAAATGTATGTTAGATAATAGTAATACCCTAAGTATTGCTATTAATTAAAACAGTCACGATTATATACTGGCTTATTAAATTTACCAATCAATTTCAAGTCATTATTTTTAAGAAGAGTTTATCTATTATATTTAAACTCTGAGGTCGAAATACTCTTGATACTATTACTTTCTAAATTCTCAGTATTCTAAACATTCTGTTGAACTTTTTTTATCTTATAAAATAAAAAGCTTTCTATGTTTAAATACACTACTCTTTAAAATATTGACATAGTTGTAATATTTCATTTTAATCAATAACACTTTCCTTATGTACACTTTTAGGTATTATTTTTATGTTACTATTCCATACATTATATTTATTATCAATAAAATTTTATCATATAATTTAAATGCTCATATTCATGAACTATTATTTAACTCAATGTATTCATAATTTCTTAGTTTATAAGCTGTAACATTGAATCACTATTAAATACATTTTAAATAATTATATATACAAAATTGTTTTAATTTTTAGACTTAATTTAAAAGATAAAAGACAAGTTATTACAATGACTAATTATTTAAAAAAAAAAAAAATGTGTATCTACAGTTTTTATTTTCTTGTGTTAAAATTTGATTGTAAATTAAAACTTAAAATTTGAAACAACACTAATAACTGAGAAAATAATTTATTTTAGCGATATTATATTTGTTTTTAATTTTAGCTTTGCATAATTAAATATTATTGTAAATACTTCAAACACAACATTATATGCAAACAATCAATTATAAAATTTAATTGTTTTCATTACTTAGAATAATTGGAAAATAGTAGTCTAATTCAATAAAAAAGATTAGACTAATTTTGTATTAATTAGTCTGATTTTCATAATTAGACCTAAAATTTAAATGTAATTTGATAAAAAATTAAATCAAACGTGGTTTTATCAACAATCTATAAATTATATTTTAAGCGAGATATTTATCTAATTTTATTGCTTTTATCACTGTAAAAGATGACTTGACTGCGAGTCTTTCTTCAAGTCATTCTCAGCTGATTGTATTTATTTGTACCTCATCAAATTTACTTATATATACCTAATATACAGATCGTTAATTTTCAATAAATGCCATTTATTTGAGAATATCCTATTATTTAAATGAATTGCTTTTCTCACAATATATACTATAAATAATTATAGATATTACTGTGACCTCATGTAGATAAATATATATTATATTCAGCATTGTTTGTGAGTTGTGAATATTTTAGCTTTAAATATGGATATTGAATAACTTAGATTGTTAGTATTATTGAAAGTATTAATTAATCATGTAAATTTAGTCTTCATTTCATAAAAACTATTCATATTAAATTTACAGTAAAAAACAAAACTTATTCAGAGTTATTATTTTTTTTTTTTTTTTTAATATTTCTGTATTATAATCTTAAATTTTTTTCTCATACTTAGATTAAAAAAGTTTTCAGCTTAATTAAATTTTAGACAAACACATTGGAAAAACAGACACAGTTGGTAGACGTTATGCATAGGTACTATGAACCATATTAAGAATAAATTAATTGATTTGGTGAAGGGAAGTAGTCTTTTAAATTGCAGACTATACTTGGAAATACCAGATTTTTAATTTCCAAGCACACTTATTGAATGTCCGACGAAAGTCTAATATTGTTGCAGAGTGGTTGGAAGAGTTGACGTACTCTTTTATCTTCGGTACGTCCGTAGACCATGGTCTATACACGGATAGGCAGGGTCGTATTTAGGGAGGACGAAAGGGGACAAACACTACAGGCGCCAAATTGTAAGTCTATTAAAGGGGGCGCTGCATTAGAAAAATATTATTAAAATTTTATTGGGCTAAGCTTTTTTTTATTTAGAGGAAAAAATGAGCGCTAAAATCGTAAATACACTTCTGAAGATAGATACTGATCGCTCGTCACAACAGGTCAAACTTCGAACTAACAAAATTCTTAAGCTTGTACACGTCCGAAAAGATATTGACGAAAGATTGTATTATTGCTCGTTTGCCGTTTAAAAATTTGTGTACCATCGCAATAGCGTTTTATTTAATTATTTTGTAAAAATCATATTTTCAATATTCATTATATGCTGGCGCTTAGTGCACACTTTCGAATTTAGGCGGGACCGCGCAGTTTGGGAATCACTGGTCGGCGGCGGGCCAATGACAGTAACGGCACGAGCCGTACTATTCTACGCATGGGAGTCCGCGTGATTTTCCCGCTAAAATCCCTGCACTGAATCGGGACAAAGGCCTCTCCCAAACCGGTCGTCACTCATGCCGGTAACCGGTGCTGCGTGCCTTTTAGAGTCAGTAGTTCAAAATCTGTCAGTCCGCTGTTGCGCTCCGGTGCAGTTGTGTCTTATTGATAAAAATAACACTCGCTTTTTGCCGTCTTTCAGCACGAGTGGTCGCCGTTCCCCGCCCGCCCATCGGACCATCCGTGACAACATTCAACATTGCTCGTTTTTAACGGACAAACGGGACCCGTTTTCTTGAGTCTAGATGAGTCCGTCTCGTGCCGGACGGAACATTTTACAGTGCCGAAAATCATCGCCATCGTTTGACGTGTAATCGTTTTCCGATTTACTACAGTCCGTTTTTCTTTTTTTCTTTTGGCGGCAATCCATCGCGTCACTGTCCAGGTTTAAAGGTTAGTGTTTTTGTGCGTAGCGTTTTTTAATCAATATTTTCCGACCACGTCCTACTGCCCAGTTCATAATAATTTTAATATTATTATTATTATATTGTAGGTATTCAGACAGGTGGTACAATACATGTAAACGATTTTTAGTAGGTTTATATAGATACAACGAGTAATAATATTTAAATAGGTTTCGGAAAAATTAGATTTATCTGGTCGTCGAGCATGATTTTCAAAAATTCACGTTTTATTTTAAATTAACTTTGTATGCATATTTAGAGAAATGTTTAATTGGGGGGGAGGTATATTATACAGTGACCTGTAGTGCGACGTAAATATGATGCATACTTGGTGTTCGCCTAGTGTTTTCGTCGCCGATAGAAAATTTTCGTACAATAACGTGAAACGATTAATTATTTAATAATTTATTTCGTTCATATACCTCTTGTGAGTTTAAAATATGTATATCATATTATAAATCGCATTTTAGTATTATGTAAATACTTACAAATAGTCGCATCACATTTTGAATATTCAACAAGTTATTTATTTGATTACAATACCATATGACATTTACCTGCAATTACATTTTAAATTAACATTTCGCGTTACAAATACCTCAATATTGGGCGTACTACCTAGGTAGGTACTTAATTATTTTCATTTTTAAAAGCATTGTAATAGTTCAATACCTTGTTCAATATTTTGTGAAAAAAAATTGTTTTTAAATACTCTGTTATATATAGATGGGTACTTAAAATATTATGTACCTATACTATTACTAGTAAGGTCTTTACATTAGGTATCTTTCAAATTTTAATGGTTTTATTGTTTACATACCAAAATTATAAAGAATAATTTTAATTTAAAAAAAAAAAATATTGATAAACTATCTACCCTAGGCATTTGCCTAATTATAAAAATATTCATCATAATAATTTATTTAATTTGATAAGTTACTTTGATTATTTTATTCTTAATAAAAGAAATACCACCTAATCAGTTAGAAATTTTTACAAAAATCTGATATAAGTATCTTAAAACATTTTTTCTAAATATCTAGTTTCAATTTGATTTTTTTCTATAACTATAGTTGAAACCAATGTTATAATTAATTTAAAAAACTATGAATGTTAATAGGTAACACCATAGTGTCAAAATATCTTAGGCTATTAACAAGTATAGAACATAGATTTGTGTTTTTACCTTTTTAATTAAGTATATCCAATTATATTTTTAATAATATTACCTACTACTTTTACTTATTTCTTTATTTTTATTACTTATTTTAGGTACCTAGTATCTACTTACATTTGTAAATGATTTTATTTTTGTTTTGTATCTAATATTTCTATATTTTCCTATAATGAATTGAAATATTCCAATCAGATTATTATTATATAATAATATATTTTACTTGTACTTCTTTTATAATACTTTTCATTGATTATCTTGTAGCCGTTTCCATAAACAATATATTTATCCTAATTCATACCTACTTATTTCAATTAAGCATGATATAAAATGTGATAGGTAATAACAAATAATTTTTATTATAGTGTTTATACCTACCTAATTAGGCATTATATCTTATTCTGAAATAAGTAGAAATTTATCATTTTTATCTTTTAAAAATAACTTACTGATAATGAAAAAACAAATTTGATTTTGATTTTCCAATTAGATGCTTATTTTTTTTTTTCATTCTTTATTATATTAGATGCGATATAGTATCATTACTATGCTCACTTAAAGTTATTACCTATACTTTTAAATTTTTCCTAGAATAAGTTTTATGATTCAGTACATATACCAATATTTTGATAGTGGTAGAACCATAAAATACCCTTAAATATTAAATATCATTCTATGAGGACAAATGTAAAAATTAAATCTTAATCATCTTCTTTAAGTTTATAACCACTTGAGGTTTCAGTGTGTACAATTAGTTTAAGATCAAATTCCTAGTTAATATTTTTTATTACACATTTACAGAAAATTCATACAAACAATACGGATAGAGGATTTGTTTGAATAAATCAAAATGGAAACACCACCTTTTAATACAGAGCCAACTCGGATGATGACCAGAAGTGTTCTAGCTGAGATACCAACCCGACTCGGACGATTATCTATGACAGACCCTAATAATGGTAATATAATATTAATAATACAGAGTTCAGTACTTACCTTAATATAAGCTTATATTTAAAATTTTGACTTTACATTATATTTTCATACCTTTATTAGGATTGGGCCGAAATGACCACCACCTCAATATAATGAATACAACTATAAGTAACTTTCCAACATCAATGATGACACCATCTCCTAGTCCAGATGAATTAATTATCCAACAAAGAGGACGTCGTAAAATACCAGTTACTTTTAGTCCTGACATTGATGCCATCAAACAGGTTAGTACATATCTATTTATTAGATATATTCTATTCTTAATTACCTTTCTACTTTACCAATATTTTACCTTATTTTTGTCATTGGGTTTTTTTTTTTTTTTTTTTTTTTTTTTTTTTTATCATTACTTATTATTTATTTTATCTAGATAATATTGTAGTTTTATGTTTTCAATTATATAATGCATTGTTTTATTTTTACCTAATGAATTTAAATACCAGAATTCAGTCTTTTCCCACAAGGTATTTTTATTGTTAGATATATTTTTATTTATTTTTTAATTTAAAAGCTTTTAAATTATAAATTTAGGTCAACTTAATATTTTTATCTTTAATAGCTTATTATTCATTTTTCTAAATAAATATTTTTATTTCTATCAAAATAAATATAAATGTAAACCATTTATGTCAATTTTTATAAAAAGAATAATTTAAGTAGGTACATATAATTTTTAAATTATATCTAAGTATAAAGCTATAACAATTAATACCTACAATTTATTTTAGTGCACGAAAAAATATAAAATAGTATGATGAATACTCCTCTCTCAAATGTTAATATAAAATATTATGTAATATTAATTTAGATAAAAAAAAAAAACAATGACTGAATAAATTCACTGATATGTATTTATGTATTTAGATTTTTGTAAATAGCTAGTATTAATAATATTATATTTAACAATCTTATAAATGTAAGATTAAATAAAAAAAAAATATATTTATCATCAAACATTTGCAAGAATCTCTGAATAATAACTGAAATAGTTTTAATGTAAAATTGTCTTCATGATACATTATATATACCTTAAACTTGAAAACAACTTGAAATTATTATAATACTAAAAGGTTTATTTACTGATTTTACAATAATTAATATACCACAATAGATTTATGATTGTATAAAATAAACATTTAAAAAAAATTATCAATTATATTATATAGTAGGGGTGGCCACATGAATAAATACAATGATACCAAGAGCCTAAATAATGTTTATAAATACATTTCATATAATTTAATATGTTTTTATAAATGTTTACCTAAAAAATTTAAATTCATAGTAATAATAACAAGCAGAAAATTTTGATTTTACAAATTAGACATGAGCCGTAAATTGGCCACCCCAGTTATATAGGTAACCTCAACCCCATGTATATGAGATATCATGTTTTTATAAAGTATATTGCTAGTAAATTTTATTTTGAAAAATTATCATTATTAAAATAAATAATAAGTTCACTGTTTAAAATTTTTATTTTTGTTTATAATGATGACAAATCTGAAATCATTGAATAATTATCGAATTAGTAATAAGTACAAAATTCATTGATCACATAAATATTTAATACATAAACAATGCTAACATTTGGTTAATGTAATACCTGCATAGACTTACTTTTAAATTTGTTTTTATAGAATAATCAAGAGACTCCAACAAAATCTGGTTGTTCTAATTACAGTAAGAGTTCAATTGTTCTAAGGAGTACTCCTCGCAAAAGATTACTGTTAAATGATCCTCTGGAATTATCATCTCCAGACAAATACAAAATTGTATGTAAAGATTTAAGTTACCTAAAATTAATAATTTTGTTGATCTTATCAATGTTTGTACTTAGGGCTCTCCCAGTTGTAAAAAATTACGTACTGATGTATCAGTTGAACTTCCAGAAGATAATTGTCTATTATCTGCTTTAAAATCATTGTCTCCAGATCAGCTGATTGGTATAATCGGACAGATTGTCATTGATCATCCAAATGTTGAAAAGGTACATATTTTTTACATTTAATTTAAAAACAACTTTATATAGTTTGACATTTTAATCAATAGGAAATTAGATCACATTTTCCTGTAGCGGACTTAAAACCCCTTGAAGAGCGCATTTATTATTTGCGACGTAATATTTATAAAGCTTTACCAAGTAGCCGATTGATTTCAAAAACTGATCCAACTGCATATAATAGAGTCTCAACACATGTCTTAGCATTCAAGGTAAATTTTTTACTTTTATTTTTATTTAGTACTCACAATATTTTAATCCTATGTTATTTTATGTGTTTTTTTTTTTTTTTAGAAATGTGTTGTTGATCAGGGTAGACGTTTAGTTGAAAGTAATCAGTGGCCAATTGTTATGGACTATGTGTTCATGGCATGGAAACATGTTCGTAATACTCCTATATGGGACAACCCTGCCCACAATGCTGCACGCAGACAGTGTTTTAAATCACTATCAGCTCAGTGTATGACTGCCCTCAAACACATGAAGGATACTATGAACCAACAAAGCTGTGACAATTATAAAAACCAGTAAGCTTTTCTTTTTAAAATCTTTTAAATTGAATCGATGATCAGCTATCAAATTATAGTATACTAGAACTAGATGTTTATATTTCATTTTTTAAAGTTGTTGATATTTTGTTTGTTAACTTTAGATTGAAACTATTAGTTGATGACAGCGAAGACATGGAATGGTGTTTACATTTTCTAAATATTAACGAGTGACTGCATTGACTAAGTTTCTTTATTTTTTTTCCATTTTGTCCATCTATCAGCATTTGTGATCGATGGTTAATATTTTGACTATAGGAAATTATTAAGCTACACATGCTATGTAACATCGCGTTAATTTAAAATATTAGTAAATTTATTTTAATTGTATACAAAAATTGAATGTTCTCAACTTATTTGTGAATAATATGGTGCATTGTGTTTTATTTTTGAAAACCTTGTAATTGTAATAATTTTGTAAACATGACCCACCTTTCCGACTATTTTATTTCTACATAAATTGTTGAATTTGCACTATCACCATCAAACAACTGTATTTGAGTTTTTTTTTTTTTGGTTTATTGGTTTTTATTACCTATAATTATGTATTTCGTGCACCATTGTCATTTTTTTTTTTTTTTTTTTATTAAAATATATTATTTATTATGATTGTCAATTACTATCATGTCCATAAAACTGGACCAATAATTTAGTTAATTATTTTATAAAATACTATTAGCAACAGTCTGGTATTGTAGTAAATTTTTTTTCTTAACAAGTTATTAAAATAAAATAGAAATCTCGTATGTTGATTAACACACAAACATACACAGTATACTGAAAATAATGTATTTTTAAATTCAGTAAGTTTGTTCAACTTTAGACTGTTGGTATAAACAGTATCGTTTGACTGTGTAATGTGTGTATTTTCAAATCCTAAATAGACTGTATAGTTAATTTTAATAAAATAAATTAAGTAAATATATTTAGATTAAAAGAAAAAAAATGTTTCCTGTACTATTTTATGTATTATGTATGAATAACTATTTATGTAAGTTTGAGTTATGTGTAATGTTTGTCGTATTTGTAGACAAATATAAAATTAATTGTAGAAACTTATTTAAATTAATGTAATAAATGAATAAATGCTAATTATACTATATTTTTGTCAGTGTTTTCTTAAAAATAATTTATAGGTGTATAACGTCTTATTTAATTATTAGTTTGAGAATGGAAAATACTAAATTTCAAATTTGAACAATTTTTTAGCAAAACAAAATCTTACAACTACCCTTTTAATGATCTAAGTAAATATTTTAATAATTGTTAGACATTTTTTCAGTGTCATTACTAGATTAGTGGTACCCAACAAGTAGTTGTGCTTGACCTAATTTATCAATGAGTACTCGTTTAAGATATTTAAAAACCGTTGATAGAGAATTTTTCTTTGTTTTTATAATTCAACAAAATTGTAACTTCTACATTTTCAGAAAGTAAGGTAGTGAACTTACTAATAATTCAAATATAAAAGTGAGAATATCATTAAGTAAACTTTGTAGGTTATCTTAATTTTAGTTAAAAAACTCTAGAGGTCTACTAGAAAATATTCTTATATTTAAATTTGATAATAGATAAATTCACTATATTATAATGTGTAAAGAAGTTAAAATAGATTCTTCAGAAAGTACAATTTTCTACATTATGCATTTGTAAGACTAAGATAATGAATGCAGATGTAGTGTCTTTTTAAGTTTAGTTTCAATTATCAAAATCATTTTATAACCAATATTATTTAGTTTATTAATGAATTTTAAATAATTGTCTAACACTACTAGTAAATAAATATCCACTAAAATAACCTTTAAATTTTTTTAGCAGAATTAATTAATCTAATTATTTTTTTTCCTAACTAATTTGTTTAATATAATTATAGTTAATTAATAAAATATTTTTGAGTTTTTTTTTTATTATCATTATGATCTATAGTAATACTGAATGCATAACATGTAATTAACTTTTGAAATAGTATACTTTATTTAGAGAGCATGATTAATTTTACAAATAAATAAAAACATGAAATAACTGGTCATTTGAAAATTAAATTTATTTTTCATAATTAACATTATTAAGACTGTCTAAAATAACGGTCTTTCGAAAACAAAAATATTGATAAAATCTAAGATGGTATATTTTTATTTCTTATACAATAATTCAATGAACTTACTATATTATTTTTTTTTTTTTGCACTTAAAAACTAATAAAAACAAAAACATATAATATAATATACTGACAAAGCTATCAACAATGCTCCAGACATATTAATACCGTTGGAATGATAAATAAAAACAATTAATTAATATACTATGCAATCTATGAACAATCTACATTATACCTTGGAAACTGTATGATAAAGGGTATTAATAATTTATAATGTTAAATTGATGATAATTGATAATATATATGTACCTGAACAAATAACTATAGATTTAAGTTATTTGAAAATGGGAATGTAGTTGTCCATACGAGCACGGTGCTTTTGTGACACACACTCAGATATCCAGACGACATTTCTGCATTCTTGTTCTTTAAGTTTCAAATACGAGTAGAAAACACCATAATGAAATTGACGCATAAATGCATTGACATTCAACTTCACTTCATGTTCAAAGAAACGATCTTCAAGAGTTTTTTCACCAGGATTAGTGCCAGCACCATCAAACAGAGCACTGTACTCAGCAAAGTATTCAGCAACAGCTTTAACCTATAAGTGATAAAATAAATATTAGAATATGATTATGTAATTATTTTTTTTACAAGAATATTGTCAATCTAATATATTGCTAGTTCTCATACGGTACCTGATCGTAATCATCGGCCCTAGCTAAAGCCGCCAGGCCATCTGGATAGAGTTTACCACACCTTGGGTATAGCTTAGCTCTATCGTCCTTGGTCAATTCCGTTCCAAAAGAGTTTATTGTTATATTAATTGCACGCCTGTCAGCTTCAAATGATAATATTTCACACATAGTATCAGCAGTGATACCTCCAAGCTTTTTACAAAAGTCATAAAAAGATTCCAAGTATGCCTTATACAGAGTATTACGAATAATTTCAATGTTCATTTCATCAAGGTCCTGTTCACTAATGCAATCTACAAAGAATGGAGCCAATGGTGTGTCAACCAACACAGCGTTATAGAGTTCAGCTGGAGTGGCAGCAACGTGTATTGCTTCCATTTGCTCAAAACTACCTAATGGATGACACTTTGGTATCAATTCAGATATTGGGCGCTGGTGAAGTGTTCCGGTGATCAACAATATGATGTTGTCAATCATGTAACTGTAAGTGATGTAATCAAGGAACGTGCTGAGTGGTTCCACAGCATGATTGCGCATATGTTGAAATTCAATGACAAGTTTTTCACGCAACTTGTCATCAATAACTGATACTGCCAGCGGGCTGGGTTCATTGGCTAAGAATTGGCCATAGTCTGTGGACTGCAGATGCAATTTGAGATCATCCAAGGTCTCACATTGCTCGAGGTTTAGGTAATCAGCATGTCTGAGTATGCCACACTTAAAGCCACGGCACAATCCTTCCAAGTAACCGCCATCAATGTTGAAGAAACAACCGGTGTCCACCATAATTTCTTATGTCAACCTGCAAACAACAACATTAAAGCACAGAACTATAGTTAAAACGACCGATCAAAATGAGACGGTTCACGCCCAAAATCCCCACTGAATTGCCTGACTATTGCTCACTATATAGTATGAACAATATGTAAACAAATGAAGTTAAAACCGAATCGATAGCAGTCAGAGAGATACGAACACAGATCGATTCAAGTTCACCGGACTTACCTAAAAGAGTTCCGCAGATAAAAACGTAGCTGTCCGCCGGAATTTGAATGTTTAGGAGGCTACAGAAAACGAAATTACGTTAGAGAAGTAATTTAGTAAACGAACTCTAGTACCTACAAATTATAGTACACACCTTAATTTTTATCAATTATCGAGAGTAGTTCTAAATAGAATGATATGAAGTTAGACCCGCGGTGTGGTTTATACGGACGATGATGATATGAACATAGCAACGTTTTACGATGACCGGCAGTTTTCAAACATGGTAGGTATTTGTTTTTCAAGCTGAAAGTTAATTTATATTATTGTGAACGACTTTTGTTATACTGGTGTCTGATGAGTAGAGCCGTGGAGGGATATAAAATTTTATCAAAATCTATGTTTTTCAAGTGCCTAGCAATTCAAAAATTGATGAAGCATGAATATGTTAAAACAACGGTTCTTAGACTTTCAAATAAGTAAGTACCTAATCAACAAGATATTATAAATAGGTAACTTAAAATAAGTTAGTTTTAGATAGGTTCAATACAAAATCATGAAAATAGTTTGAAAATGTAGGTACATGTTGAAATCTACGTAAAGTATTATTTATTTTTATTTTTTGTTGTCATTTAATATATTTCATAATTTATACATAGGTAGGTATTTGTAATGGGTACAGGAAAAGTTATACTAAACAATAAATATACTCAAACATAAAAAAAATCTCGTAAATATTAAACCACTTACCCAATTTCAAAACTAATTTTAACATTTATTAGTCTGGAATGACGATTAATATTGATTGGATGGATATTATTTAGTTGTTAAAAATGTTAGCAACCCTTAAAATATAAGTCATTACGACAGGGAATGTCATTCATGCGTATGGAATTTTGCTACACTCACTAGACAGAACAATAGATGAATGAGACTTTAAAGTAGTCAATACATGATTATTCTGTATTGTCAGTTTTTTATGACGGTCAAATTAAAAAAAATTCAAACGTGTTTAATAGTTTAATATTTAACAATCATGATAAATAAAAAAAAAATGTACGTGAGACGGAGCAAAAAGGTGTGAATTTCTAAATAAGTTTGTTACAGTTCATAGAAACGGCATCTAATGTATTCTTGATAATTAAATTTCGAAAATTTAATATTTACTAGGATAGAGATGGATTTATGTACTTCTTACCACATTACGTAATTTAAATTTGGCCGGGGAAATAATATCATATGAATTTCAAAACTAATCTTGTGAATTCAGACAAATGCCATGCTTTATATTCACAAAAAAAAAAAATTAAATTATAGGTACGATCGTAGATAGCTGATGGAAACCTGGTATACTAACTGTTTCATTATTGTTATTTTAATTATATGTCATTTTATGGGAAAGGAGTTGTGGTGACAATTTCAAAATTATAAGCTTGAATAATTCACGGATACGGAATGCAATACATTCGTAATAATAATTAATACTTTGGAAAACTTAAGTTTTATTTGAATAGAAAAAATTACACATTTCTTGTCGGTTACAAAATCTCAATTTTGTGGTGAAAGGAGTGTCATAAAATTTCAAAT